TAACATTCAACTTGAATTTAACAAACAATAATACAATAAAAAGATACTCAACCAAAAGATTTGTCTACAAAAGATGCAATTACAAAGATCTAAATTCATTTTTCAAAGATTTTGATAGGAAAAATAAGCTCAACAATGATCTTGATGTTGAAACAAACTACAAAAACTTCGTTGAAATATACGACAATAGATGTGAAAAGTTCATAAAAAAACAAAACTTGAATTTTATGCAAAAACAGCCATATTAGTTTAACAAACACACAAACACAGCCAAAAACAAAAAAAATCTCTAGTTCAAATTAAAAGTTTCAAACATGATCTGAAACTTAAATACCAGGAAACAAAAAAGAAAGTAGCAAGGGAGGTGAAACGAGCAGTATTTGAGTACGAAAAAAAATAAGCCGCAAACGCAAAATTGAACCCAAAAATGATTTATTCTCACATTAACAAAAAACGAAACATCAAAATTGATGTCAAAACTCTCTTGGATTATGCGGGAAATTTGATTAGAGATAAAAAAAAATTACTGAAATTTTTAATGTAAAGTTTCAAGTGTCTTTGAAAAGACACTTTGTGTGGATGTCATTAGGATGTTTCAAATTACAGACCCATTTCCATAACATCCGTTGTCTGTAGAGTAATGGAGAGCATCATAAAGGACAAAATAGTAGAACATCTTTCAAAAAATTATTTAATACCAAAGAATCAACACGACTTAATTAAGAGAAAATCATGGACAACAAACTTGCTTAAATTGTTTGACCTAATAACAAAAGCTACCGACAACGGCATAATATAGCATTTAAAGACTTAAGTAAAGCATTCCATCGAGTACCATACACACAACTTTATTTAAGAAAATTAATAGCGTAGAAATAGTAAATAAGATACTCAACTGGCTAATTATCTATTTAAAAGATCAAAAACAGCGTGTCAAACTAGGAGACGCTAGTTAATGTGCTTAGTGGGGTTCCTCAAGGCACGGTTCTTGGGCCATTACTGTTGGTAATTTTCATAAACAACTTAGCATCACAAATAAAAAATAATCCAAAACTTTTTGCAGATGACAAAAAATGATTGCTATCATAAAAGACACAAACGGTTCAATCAGTTTGCAAAATGATATCATCTTTATATCAAAATGGTGCGAAACATGGCAAATGTCTTTAAATGAGAGCAAAAGTAAAGTAGTTCACATTGGGAAATCAAATCAAAAATTTATTCAGTTAAATGGGCATCAGTTATTAAAAGTAGAATTTGAGAAAGACTTAGGAGTGATAATTAGCTCTGACTTAAAGTGGGATCAGCAAATCCACTACGTATTAGCAAAGTCTAATCGTATATTGGGTCAGCTTAAAAATTTATTCAAATGCATAAACATAACCACTTTTAAAATGCTCTTCACGCCAATGGTGAGGCCGTATCTGGAGAACGGTGCTTCAATATGGAATCCAAATAGATTTAAAAAAATAAAAACAATTGAATCAGTCCAAAAAAAGGCAACTAAACTAGTCCGAGAAGCTAGTGGTAAAACATACGAGGAAAGGATCCGCTGCCATGGTCTGACAACACTGGAAGAAAGAAGATTAAGAGGAGATCAAATACAACAATTCAAAATTAAAAATGGACTAAATAAAATAAACTTTTATTCAAGTTAAACCCAAGAAAAATACGATCATGGTAAAAGACAACAAAACTATTCTGATATCGGGTACAACTTCTTCACAAACAGGATAGTCAAATAATGGAATCAACTGCCAGTATACTGTCAAAACTCAAAAACAACAAACGTTTTTAAAAAAAATTACAAAAAATTTATAAAAAATGTATTTTGACAAATGCCATAAATGGTCTTAATATAGCCATTTCTTACGACCATCTCGTTGTAGTTTGATAATAATAATAATAATAAATAATAATAATAATAATAATAATAATAATAATAATAATAATAATAATAATAATAATAATAATAATAGCAATAATAAAAATAAAAAGAATAAGAATATCTATAATATTATAAATAATAAATCAAAATATAATTATTAAGAATAAATATAAATAATTGATTGAGGAAGGAGTCACTCATGCAGAATTCTGATCAACGGAGTGACACCAAATAATTATATTAATAATATTAATTTGAAAAATAATAATAACAACAATAATAACTTTATTCATTAATAGAGCAAAAGTAACAGCAAAAACAATAGTATTTATAATAATTGTAATAATGATAGTAACAATAAAAACAGCAGTAATTGAAAGTAATAAATATTAATGACAAAAATTATAAAGTTTCTATAAAAAAAGTGAGAAAAAAAAAAAAAAAAAAGAAAAGAAAACTAAAGAAAGTTAATAATGATAAAAAATTAAAATAAATTTTTTTTTTAGAATTTGTTTAAATTTATTTTGTTTTAAAGAAATGAAGATAAATTTTGAAATTTTAATTTTTCAAACTCATTCACAATGCACACAAGACTTCGATTCCATTCACTGATGCATTAATGTGTAATTGAATACTTACCATACCTCAAAGTTTTATAGGGAAATACATTTAGTTAACCATTATTGATGATTCTAGTTAAATGTGAATGTATAAATCGAGTCTCAGTGAATTAGGTTTCTATGAAGAAGGTTGTAATAGAGGAAGGTAAATTTTTATTATTATAGTAAATTTAACTAGTGCAGACAAGGTAGGAATTTTAAGTTTTTTAAAGAGTTTTGAAGTTTCTGTATTATGGAGTTGAAAATTAATTATTCAGATTGATTGGCGCTGAGCTGATAACAATTTATTAATATTACAATTGCTAATTTGTCCCCAAACTTGACAACAATAGATGAGATGAGATTGAAAAATTGAAAAATACAGATTCTTAAGGGTAGTTTTATCAACATTATGGCAAATTATTGAAAGCATGCCATTGGTACTTTTATAGATTCTAGAGGTTCGAATCTATAAAAATGCCATAATATTTAACAACGTGTATTGGACCACGTTTATTATTGATTTTAATTTTAGTTATATGATTGTTGTAAAAAAGTTTTTGTCTTGAAAAATATTAGTTTAGTTTTTTCCAAGTTCAGAGAAATTAGGTTTGCATTTAGCCAATGAACTAAACCTTTTAGGTCTAACTTTATATTCTTACACAAGAATGATGAGACTTATTAATATGCAAGATATTAGTATCATCAGCAAAAAGATGGACTGATGAGAAGCGGACAGAGTTATTTAGATCATTAATATAAATCAAAAAAAAAAAAGGGCCAAGAACAGAGCCCGCCACAGAGAACACCACAAGCCCACCACAGAGAACACCACAAACTATATGTTTGTTATTTGATTTGTAAACATTAATGCTAACAAACTGCTTTCGATTTGAAAAATAAGATTTAGACCAGTTACAAGAAACTCCTCGGATTCTGTAATGTTCAAGTTTAGAAATTAAAATGGTATGATTAACGGTATCGAACGGTTTTTGTAAGTCGATAAAAACACCACCTACGAAATGACCAGTATCCAGTGCCTTATTTATTTTTTCGGTTATACTTATTAAAGCGTGGCAAATAGAGTGATTTGATCGAAGTCCAAACTGAAACTCATTTAAACAGTTAAAGGAATTCAAAAATGAGTATAATATAGAGTACATTAGTTTTTCAATGAGCTTGCTAATGTTAGAAAGAATTGAAATTGGTCTATAGTTAGTACATGAGAGTTTTGAACCATTTTTATATACTGAAATGACACAAGATAGTTTCAAAATATCAGGACAAATTCCATTTAAGAAGGAGATATTAAATAGCTAAGAGAGAATATGAGAAAATTCAGAAATAAAATCAATAAGAATTTTTGAGGGGATGCTGTTAGGACCTATTGATTTTCTAGATTTTAATTTAGATATAAGTGATGAAATTTTGGAATGGTTTGTTGGAGATATCAGTAAACTATGAAGATTTGGATGTTTAAGAAGAATGAATTTATTTTAGAAGTAAGATGAATTTATTTTAGAATTAAGTTTATGAGCATATTTGTGAAAAAGTTGTTGAGCTCTTCGCAGATTAGAGTAGGTTCAGTTCAGGGCCGGCGCGAGTAGGTGTCACGTTTTTACCATTACAACTTTTGCCAACTAAAAAAAAAAATTTAAAAAAAAAAGGTCCTCATTTTCCAAAATTTGCCGACTGCCATGACAACATTTGTCGACTGTCTAGATTACCGACTAACCTAATCGAAAGGGTCAACATTTGCTGACTAACTAGTCTAAAAGGGTCCAATTTGCCGCCTAAGGGTCCAATTTGTCGAATAAAAATCATTGATGGAGGAAGGGGGTGCCACACCCCCCTCACCCCCTATCGCGCCGGCCTTGGTTCAGTTATGTATGTTTCGTTAACTTGTAAGCAATTTGGAGGTATATTATTGACATTTTTGACATTAGACTTTTTATGCCTTTCCAAGTCTCACGAAGATTTTTTATATTTTCTGAAAAGAATTTTTTGAAATGTATTTTAGTTTTATTAGAATAATTATAGGTAAAAAAATACATACATATATATATATATATATATATATATATATATATATATATATATATATATATATATATATATATATATATATTTTACGATAAAAGTATTTTTATATATGGTATACTCGAAGACAAAATAAATAAATTTTGATTAGGGTTGCTGCCGGATTTTTTCCGTTAGATCAACGGAAAAACTTTTAAAAGTGTGTAGAAATAATTGCTTTAAATTAAAAAAAAAAAAAAAAAATAACAACGAAAAATATTGTTTAATATGTAAAAGTATATGTATTTAAATTGTTTATTATTTCTATTTATATAAATATCTTTGTAAAAATGCGTGTAAAATCAGTTTAAAAAAGTTTTTTAAAAATTTGTACCAAGATTATAACTAGTGATATGAGTAAAAAAACAAAAAATGTTTAAAATCTATCTGATTTGAATTTGCTTTAAAAGTTTGAAATTGCTTTGAAAGTTTAATTTTCATTACGAGAATCTTCATTATCATTTCATAATAAAGGTTTATCTATGCAAAAATCTTTGTCAAAACAAAGTCTTCACAAGCTAACATGTCTTTTACGCAATCTCTAAACCTAACAACTAGGTTTTCAATTATTGATCGGTTTACGTAGTTTTTGAGTAATCCCACATTCCCTTTTTTGTGTGAAAAACATGGTTGAAATTTTTTACTTTAAATCGTTCTACTTCATATCCAGCTTTTAAAACAGTATCAAGAAGTTCCCAATCCTCATCACCCCAACTTGAGATAAACTTCTCAGTATTCATCCCACCAAACCTATTCCAATCTGATTTATATGCACCAAATATTCCGTAACCTGCTGATTCCCAGAAACCGTAACGCGCTTGAGGATTAGCACCACACTGCAATCGCAACAGAATTGGGCTACAAACCATTTTTCCTTGTACAGTATGCTGCAAAAGATTTTAATGTTGATTAGTTCTATAAAAAAACAGTAATAAACATGGTTTTCTATACTTAGGAGAACTGAGAGCATCCTGTTATATAGCTACCATTTTACAATCAGCGAAAAAATTTTAAGAATTTCAGAACACATTATAATAACATAACTGTTATTGTTTGAGTTCTGTAAAACAAATATAACTTAAACAAATAATAAAAAATAAAAAAAAATTTATTTAGATTTTTTATCAAAATAGATTTTTGAATTGCCCAGAAAAAAAAAGTGCAAAGTATATATTGTAGGTGCAAAGTGTATATTGTAGGTGCAAAGTGTACATTTTGTAGTTTTGACAATTTGAATCTCAATTCTCAAATCTCAACTGTCTCAGTTTTCAATTTAAACTCAATACCAAGTAATACCATGTTTAAATTCTTTTAGTTCATTATTTTATAAATTTAACCTTTTTTTTTTCTTTTAATGTTGTTATAACCCTCACTTAACCCAAAAAACAACAACAACAAATTTCTAAAAAAAATCTACCTTACGAACAAGATCAATGAGGTTTGATGGAATAGTTAAGTGCAGGTCAACTTGCAATGTGATTGCATTAGGATTAATAATAGTGTTAGCTGCAACTTGAATAGCAAGAGTTTTATGAAACTTTCCAGTGTGTTTAATAAGAGTGTACCGAGGTATAGAGCTTAGATCAAGAGCTTTGATCATGTCAATATCCTGACTATTAAAATCAACTATAATTACGTTTAAATTAATATCCTTTGTATCTTCAAAAATATTTGCCATTGTATTAATGAAGTGTTTTGCCCATCGACCTTGATTTCCGATGGTTAATATAACATTGACATCAGAAGTTTTATTCCATTGAAAGTTTTCTGGGTAGCATAACTTATTGAAGTTGTTAAACAAATATACATATTGTGAAAATCTAACTTTTTTGGATAAATTATTATTTATTAATTCTAATTCAACAAGAAAACGACTTCCTTTCCCAATATCATCATTTTCTTCAACATTTAAAATTGCTGATAACGAGTACTTGCTATAAATAAAAAATTAATTAAAATAATAAAATAATTATAAACAATTTTTATCCTGCATATATCATCCTGGAAATTGTATTTATATAATCATGTTAACATTATCCATAAATAATAAAATCTTTATTATTTTTATTTTCCATAATAAAATCTTTTTACTAAACTTAAAACACCTGTTTTAAGTTTTACATGATGTTTTAGTTAAAATAATATTTTTTACTATTATATAATTAGTTTTGCCTACATTTTAAACTGTACAATTTAACCTAATACATTTTAAAATGTACAATCCAGAAGCCATAATAACATTTATTACAAACAAAAATTTCTAATTTAATAAATTTAAGTAAGAATAATGTTTAGATATATGCATTAGAGTGCGGGAAATATGCATTAGAGTGCGGGAAATATGCATAAGAGTGAGGGAAATATGCATTAGAGTGAGGGAAGTACGCATTAGAGTGCGGGAAAACTTTTCAAATAGGTACCTGAAGATGATCACAAATCATTCCTAAAGATTGTGATTCACCATAGATCTACTAATCTTTTATATTAAACTAAACAAATACTTTTTAGCTGTAACTATTACAATTATATATACATATATATATATATATATATATATATATATATATATATATATATATATATATATATATATATATATATATATATATATATATATATACATATATATATTCCAATTATAAATACTATATATATATATATATACGTAGGAAAACGTATGAGTGGAAACTCGCCTTTGCTCAGTTATAGTTAAAACCCTTTTCAAAGATGACTTTAAAAAAGTTTGGTTTCTATCAACAATTTAAAGCAAAATGTTTGAAAATGCATAGCGCATCAGTTTCTAAATGATCTCTGGCTCTAACCTTAACCCTGCCCCAAATCATGTACGTTTAATTGCGCCAATACCTGTTTGTCAGTCGATGTATGCGCATATACCCATACATTGACTGAAAAACAGGGATTGGCGCAATTAAATGTACTTGGATCTACTGAATAATAAGGATTAGCACAATTAAATGTACATGCATCGACTGAAAAATAAGGATTAGCACAATTAAATATACATGCATCGACTAGGGCTGCCAATTTGAATATTTTTAAAAAGTTCGAACTCGAACACTTTCGAACTATTTAGGAAAAAAGTTCAAACTTTTTCGAATTTTTAAAATAGTTTTATTTATTTAAAATTGAAAACAAAAAGGTACAAGTTAAGTACAAATCTTTTAATATCAAACGGAGAAAAAAAAAGGGAGCAGACTCCCTTATTATGTTTCAGCAAATTTTTAAATATCAGTATTGTTATAGAAACTTTTTATTTTTTTTAAAAAAGTAAATAAATTTATAATTTTTACTTATATTTCAGCTGTTTTCACAAAAATTAACGAAAACGCATATCTTTTTTTAAAATTTAAAAGTTCAAATTATTTCGACTGACAAATAGGGGTTGGCGCAACTAAATGCGCATTTAGTTGCGCCAATCCCTAATTTATATATATATATATATATATATATATATATATATATATATATATATATATATATATATATATATATATATATATATATATATATATATATATATATATATATATATATATATATATATATATATTCATAAAAACATTTATATAATTTAAATAAATTTAATTTCGACGACAAAAAAAACTGGGTCGTGTGTAAACTTTGGTGTAAAACTTTTTAAAAAATGGCGAACATAGTTTAGTATAGTTTTTTACACTTCAACAACGAATTAGAGCTTTTTCTGTTAATTTTCAGATATATGTTTTTATACGATAAGCATATAATTCTCTATCGTAATCAATAATTTACTACGCTGCCGTAGTATATTGGATTAAAGCTGCACAGTAGGCAAGCAACCTGGAGTTTATATCCTGCATAAAAGAATTTGTATTTTTACATTTCTTCCTTTTGTCATTATTTGCCTCAAACGGTTTTTATAACCTGTGTACCTAACGGTATATATTACGGGGCTTAGTGATATGAGAACTATAGCTTTCTTTTTGCTTCGGTCATGTAAATATTTTATTCATTTACTTTGTAGTTGTAAATATTTTTTAACGACGAAATATATATAAAAAAAAAAAAAAGAAAAGAAAAAAAAAAAAGTCTCATTTTGTTCTCTTCATTGATGACACTAATCTTTTTTATACCCATTTGAATATATATGAACAATATTCTCTACAGTAAATCGTAATGTAGAAACCCCCAATGAGTGGTCCAAATTAAACAAACTTTCTTTGAATATCAGTAAAACTAAGTAAATTTTATTTTATCACCAATTTAAATTTAATGACTTGCAACTGATAATTTTGAATGATGACTTGCCAAAGCAACTTCCTCTGCTAACTACAACAACATTATAGTAAACAGAGTTTTATCACTTAAAATTCTTGGAACAATGTTTGATGAACATCTTTATAGTAAAATCATACTACACTAATTGTAAATGAAAACTCTAAAACTATATGCATTATGCATAAAACAAAACACCAACTAAGTAAAAAGTGTTTAAAAGATTTATACTTCTATTTTATCAATAGCTGCATAAGCTATTGTAATTGACAAGTAAATGGAATCTACTAGTCTTTGTCTAGTAAATTTTATCAATCCATTTTATCAGTCTTTATATAAAAAATTCAGCTTCTGAATTAGTAATACAAAAATCTTTAATTAAATTATCTCGCTTACTCTTACTCGCTTACTCTTATTTTGAAAGCGAAGCTAAAAAATTGTCAATGGTTCAAAAGCTTTCTCTGTGTCTTCGCTACTTTTACTTGATGACATCATCTTTGCAACTGTTACTTAATGAGTCTTGAGATGAAATGTTTACTTTTGAAGAGTATGATTAAAAGTATACTTACAGTGGTGGTCGTAATACTGGTGGGGTTTCATCATGTGGGACATGGTCTCTCAATTCTCTGTAAATGATCAAAAGAGTTACTTTTACTCTACCTTGTAACCATCTTGCTAGAGCAGTTAGTCAGGATCTACATATCACATGAGGGGGCATGGCTTGTCCTAATCACCCAAAATATTTTGCTACCAGCAGTATATTACTTATTAGAATCTTATGTTGTATCTGCTTATTTTACATTATAATTCCATATGCTAAGCAATACATATTAGGAGAATTTCGACATCCTCAAGTTGCCATTATAAGAAGAATAGAACTAATACAGTACAATCACGATGTGTATTAGTTACAATCACGATGTGTATTAGTTACAATCACGATGTGTATTAGTTACGTAATTAGATTTTTTTTAAACAAAATACTTTGGTTTTGAGTGCATATTTTAAAGGAGCATTTATTAACAGATACGCAAAAGGTTTTTATACGTTTTTTGAAAGAATTTACGACGCGAAATTTTTAATTCATTTTGTAACTATACAAACATTTTACATTTTTTCATTTTCATTTATGATTTTATGTATACGTTTATAAAAAATAACATAAAGTTTAAGATAATTACAGAAGCAAGTAAAAGACTTCAGCCTTATCATTAAGTTTCATTCGCAAATAAGTTTAACAATATTAAAATTCTCAAATAAAAAAAAGAGGCGAAAACAAAAATTAATACAAAGCCATATACGTTACGATCTTCTAAATGAGTATGTAATTAAACTATTTTTTATCTTGAATGATCACAATTTGAAAAATACTGTATGTCCTGTCTAGAATGATTAAACTAACTGCCTTGACAGCTCAAACTAGCTACAAGTGTGAGTAAAGGAAGCTGCTTTAACTTAAATGATAAGAAATATTAGAAAGCTTTTATTTAAATGCTAAAAAATCTGTTGCAATCCTCAATATATCTATCACCTGCTTAATGTTGTGGTGATAGATATATTAATTCAAAAAACTCTTGTCCAGCTCCTGAGAATACTACAAGCAGTTTCTGTTTGGGAGTCACTTAACCCTAATATGTATTTAAACTTTGTGATTTCAATAGTAAGCACCTTGTTTTCAGGAAAAAGTGCTTTTGACTCTTTTATTCTTCGGAATTTCACTATTTAAAAGTTAAGAGACTTTGTTAGCAAACTGTATTGATATAACAGCTTCAACTTTTTTCCAATTTTAGGCTTTGAGTGCAAAAGGTTTCTGCACCTCTCTCATTTGAAATGTAATTAAAAAGTATAACGTAGTTAACAGATCAAAAATAAAATATAAATAAAAAATTATTATGTAACGCTTTGTTTGCTAATAAATATCATCCTAGCTGTTGATGTAAAAATGCTTTTAAAATGCAAGCAATCTCAACAAGACTACGACAGTATTTTTGTGTTCTAATAAGCTGAGTCAAAAATTTGATAATAAAGTTTTGGTAAAAATAATTTTTTTTGCAATGTCTTTTTGCTTAATAATTTAGATGAGAAAAATCAAAAATTGTATTTTATTAATAATTTTAGATTTGAAACATAAGCACCCTAGGTTTTTCAAATATACAAGCCATTACTGTTGAAAACTATATTTATCGTAAATTTTTTTAATAAGATGTGTATATGGGTCTCCCTATGGTTTTGCATTTGAACAGGAAGTATCTTTGTACGAATGACAGATATTATCGCAATCAAAAAACTGTTTTTTGTTTAATCTTTAACTTTCTTTTTTTGCATCGCAGGATACACCCAAGATCGATACACCCTAGAACCGTCCATAAACATCTTTTGTACTTTTATTTCTTATTATAAACTAAATTTAACTTTTTTCAGTTTTTATTATTTGTGATTTTCTAAAAAACGGTTAAATTTAATTCTGCATTTGATTTTAATGGCAGTCATTATATAAATGACATCATTTTATAAATAACATCATTGTATAAACACTCGCCTTATTTCCACTAAAAAAAATTTCTTTCAATAGAGACGCATTTGCTTCACTCTGACTTCAGTACTTCACTCTGACTTCAGTACTTCATTGTAACTAATTTTTATAACTTTATAATAAAATAATACTTATAATTATAACTTTATAATAATAATAATAAAAAAAAAGTACAAAATACATTTTTTATTTATACAGTTTTTCCAGATATAAGGATTAAAATAAGTAAAAATATTTAAAATACTATTTTAAATTATTTTAAATTATTTTTTCTTGGCAACTTTAATTGTAAATTTTATATTAAAACATGAATTTTAGGAGACAAAAAAATGAAACCTACTTTTTATGCTTTTTCTTTATTGCAGCCATTACCTGATTAACTATATTATGAGCAGTACCCTCTAAAACAATGTCATTTCCAAATATCATTTGGTTTTCATTTGTGTCGAGTCTATAAAATACCTCAGTATTGTCTTTGGGAAACACCTTTGTGTAATGAAGTTCCCAAACGCCTGAGTACTCTGGAATATCTTCATGAACTATATATGATGGAGAGTATTTACAATCAGGAAATAAATCTAATGTATCTTCTTCTGGTATTAGAGGAATAGTAAAAATTGTACTTCTTATAAAATCTTCTTGTGTAGAATAAATTTCAGAAAGTTTTTTTTTATCAAATAATGATGGAAGACCCTCCGGCACTTTATAATTAAGTATAACAGATGTTTTTTTAGAACCTGTTTCATTAAAAAAGCAACTTAAATTTTCGCTTGATATTTCAATAAATGTTGACCTAAGACTTGATTGTCTCCATTTTAAAGAAAACTTTCCAATATTAATATCAGTCTTACCGAGTATTTCAAAAAAATATTTCCCTTTGTTTAAATAAATTTCATCTGACAAAGTGCTAACCTGTTTTGTTAAGTGATTTTGATAACAAATCAAAAACGAATTGTTTGGAGAATCAAGACTTAAATAAACTTCGATACTTATATCAACAGTACTAAGCAAAAATTGTATTAAATCATTACTTTTTACTTCAAGATAGCCAAAAATTCTAATTCCGTATAAAGGTAAAATTTTATTAAAGTCTAATTTATTTACAGTATCTCTGATTACGGGTAAGTGTGGATAAAGTGGATACAACTTTAAGTTTTTAACATCGATACCACATATTTCGTGCCATAAATGAAGATTCACTACATTTTCACATTCTTCTATTTTATTTTCATTAACGTTCTTGATTGGGTAAAACAATGAGTTAATTTTATCTTGTGAAACACCTTTAAAAAGTTCTTTACGAGAAGCAGAAGGATTTGGATTGACGATTACATTAACAGGCAAATTATTTCCTCGCTGAGCAACTATTATTCCAATTTCCTCCACTGCTTTGACATTTTTCTTACATCCAAGCTGTTGATAACAAAAAAATATTAATTCAACCAAAACAAAAATTCCAACAAGTAATAGCAATAGTTTAAGTTTACGGTTGTCCATGGTTACGGTTATCCATCAAATGAAGAATATACAGGACCTTTTTTGATACCTGTATATTAAAAATTGAGAACAGATTAAATAAATGAAAATGGTAAAAACTACCTGTCTTTACTTCAGTTTTTTTTTTTTATGAAAACGCTTTTATAAGCTTCTGTTCTTAGTTACCTTAAGTAAAGAATTCTTAATAAAATCTGAATTAAACTTACTAAACACAAAAAAGCACAAATTGCTTTTACTCATGATGCTTATCATAGCATATCACAATATATTTGTTTCAGAAAAAGGAGATATAATTAAAATGCCAGGTCCATAGTTACATAAAAATTAATTTTTAATTTTTTGTAATAAAGAGTTTAGTTTTAAATTCAATTAATTGCATAGATGGATTCATTCACTTGAGCATAAACAATCAATTGATTACAAAAGCAATTTTAAGAATGTCAACAGTTTAACATAATTGCATTTAAAGATAAATCTCAAACAACACGAGAAATTTTGTATTATTGTACTTGTCATACTTGTCAAACAATACAGAAGGTGTGACATTGTTTTAACATTTTGCCGCTGAGTATCACCATGTAAATAAATACGGTACAATTTAAATAACTTAAACTTTACACTAACAAAACATAAATCAAATCGTCTATAAATATATATATATATATATATATATATATATATATATATATATATATATATATATATATATATATATATATATACATATTATATATACAGTGCCGGACAAAGGGGGGGGGGGGCTAGGGGACCATCGCCCCGAGCCCAGCAAATTTAGGGGCTCCCAAAAATTTTAGAAGACCTTTTTTTATATATATATAAATATTATGACGTCATGAATGACTTTCAAAACTGACTACATTGCGTTTTATTACTATTTTTATTCAAAACTGACTACAACCTTATATTCTGTATAGTTTCTTGTGTAAAACTCTTTCAAAAACATTAACATTATTGCAGAAGAAGTGGGCGGTTGCCTTTTTTGATCACAATTAATAATATTTTACTTTAACATCTTGGCAAAAGCATTTTGCTCGTATTGACAACTTGCACATTTTAAACACGCACTGAATATACTTATTTATTTTTAAAATATATATGAGGCACAATTTTTTGATGTTTCAGACATAAAACATCAAAATTATACAAATATCAAACTTAAGAATCTTCATGTTTATGTTAGATGAAAAAGTTTTGCAAAAACGTTTTGCGGTGCCTGGAAACTGGTAACTAAAATACCCCTGTAAAAACTTTCCCCACCTCGGATGTGAGGATAATGATTTAATAGAAAATATATTTTCAGCTTATTACACCGAATTCAAATTTTTTGACAGGTTTTTAATTTTATTATTTAATTATATTAAATTTTTTTAACGTTGAAAAGTTATGATCTTGAGAAACATTCCCCTCCTCAAAATTAGGATTAGTTTCTCAACGTCATAACAAAAAGATTATTAAATTAAAATAAATTTTATAAACTTAAATTTAGCATTGTAAACTAAAAATATATTTTATCAAACCATTGCCGAGATATTCAGGGTGGGGGAGTATACTTCTAGGTGTATTTTAGTTCCAAGGCTTTAATCACTGCAATATTTTGCAAAACATTCTCTTTTGACAATAACATGTACAATGTACATTGTACATATTTAATGTACTTACTTATGTATGTATATATATATATATATATATATATATATATATATATATATATATATATATATATATATATATATATATATATATATATATATATATATAAGTATACATATATGTATGTATGTATGTATGTATGTATGTATGTACATAAAATATATATTGATTTTCAATTTTAAAAGCGTTTCATATAACAATATATAATTTTATAAATAATACAATAAACTTTAGAAAAGATTAAAGATTTAAAGTTATTTAATCCAAACTAAATTACTTTGAAACTTTAAGAATGGCGAAACTTTGATCTTTTTTAAAGTCTATTAAGTGAATTAAACCCGCCTCAACTATTGAACTTTGCAATATATATATATATATATATATATATATATATATATATATATATATATATATATATATATATATATATATATATATATATATATATATATATATATATATATATATATATATATATATATATATATATATATATACATATATATATATATATATATACATATATATATATATATATATATATATATATATATATATATATATATATATATATATATGTATATATAGTATATATATATATATATATAAATATATTTATATAAATATATATATATATATATATATATATATATATACATATATATTTACAATTTCAGTAAATTTACACATCGTTACGTTATAACTACATGACATAATATAATACAATGTAAAAAATATAACATAATAATACCACGTATAACATATCATAATAAAAAGTGGTTTAACAAGTATAACTGAGTATAGCGTAAACTGCCAGTATTATTAAAAATAAAAGAATAAAAATAAGAAAAGTAAAAAAAATATACAAGAAATTTTTGTTGCCTCAGATATATACATGCTGTTGTAAAGGAAAACTCGTAGAATTCTAAAAAGACTTATCATCAGTACGAGTAGTATATATATATATATATATATATATATAATATATATATATATATATATATATATATATATATATATATATATATATATATATATATGAGGTACTCGATGTCAAGTCTTCTTAGAATTCTACGAGTTTTCCTTTACAACAGCATGTATATATCTGAAGTAACAAAAAATTTCTTGTATATTTTATATATATATATATATATATATATATATATATATATATATATATATATATATATATATATATATATATATAATATACAAGAATATATATATATATATATATATATATATATATATATATATATATATATATATATATATATATATATATATATATATATATATATATATATATATGTATATATATATATATATATATATATATATATATATATATATATATATATATATATATATATATATATATATATGTATATATATATATATATATATATATATATATATATATATATATATATATATATATATATATATATATATATATATATATATATTATATATATATATATATATAGACGCGGATCTGAGGGGTGGCTATTGTGGCCATGGCCACGTAGTTTAAAATCAGATAGATTTATTAGAAAATTTATTTATTGTTTATCAAAGATCTTTTAGAACTTTTAGAACTAATCATTGAAATATTTTTAAATATATGTTATTGAAAACGAACATAAGCAATTTTAAGACTTTTTTCGTCTAGTGGTTATTGATAAACTACGTCACGTTAAATTTAAATTTTAAAAACTTTGCGGTAAACATCGCTAAAATCTCTGCAAGAAAGTCAAACTCTCCGTGCCCTTAACAATAACTTATGGCCATAGCAATGATATATATTTAACTACACCTTTTCAAGATGTAATTGAGAAAACAAAAATTGTAATTAAGAATCGTAAGATGTAATTGAGAAAACAAAAGTTGTAATTAAGAAACGTAAGATGTAATTGAGAAAACGTAAGTTGTAATTAAGAAACATAAGATGTAATTTAGAAAACGAAAATTGTAATTAAGAATCGTAACATGTAATTGAGAAAATGTAAGTTGTAATTAAGAAATAGAAAGATGTAATTGAGAACACGAAAATTTTAATTTAGATATCGCTTTAAAGGAGTAAGTGTAAAATGGCGCTTAAAAAAAATGGAGCGTATAAAATGACGCACTTAAAAATGTAGCGTAAATTTAATTTTTATAGGAAAAATTTAGGGAAAAATTTATAATTTTTGGGCAAATGAATTTAACATAATAAACACTAAAAACATTTTAGGGAAAATTTTATAATTCAATTAAAAATTATAATTAAAAATTATATAATTAAAAATCACTTCATTGATCATTTAAGAACCAACTTGTACGTCTTCCATATTTAAAATAGTTGCATAGTGCGTGGTTGTGTGTTGTACCGCACGTGCACAATCTCCTCCCATTATAGTATTTTTCGCCTCAATTACAATTCGTTCTAAGTACTGCATGCGCTGTTCCGCAATCCCGTCACCTAATACAGGTGGAATGCGAATTGCATTTTTAACGTTACTTTTAATTTTGGACCAGATCGTTTCCACCGGGTTCAACATTGGACTGTAGGGTCCCAAACGTAACAACTGAGCTGGTGAATTATCAAACACCCTTTGCAAACGAGCGTGACAAGGAGCATTATCTGTTACGACGACCAAATCCTCCAAACGATTCCCCGATGTAACCCACTGGTGAAACATAGCCAACATCCACTCGTTACAGGAATCTACTTTAAATGATCCCCTGCGAGTTTCTATCATGAAGACATTTGTAGTTGAAATAGCTGCGATCAAGTGTATGTTTAAAACTTTTGAAGCAGGTACTTTCATAATTGCTCTTTTTCCTTGTCTCGCGCGTCCTTGCATTTTTCTACAAAAAAGGTTAAAATTTGTTTCATCCAACCAAACTATCTGACGACCATTTGTGATATGTTCGTTGATGTTTCTAACATATTCAGCTCTTTTTTGTTTGTTTTCATAACTGTTCATTGTAGAAGGCTCCTTGTGCACTTTTTTTAATGGGAACAATCTGCCTTCGAGGTAATTTGCTATTGTTGTTGTGCTAACGTTTATGTTAAATTGTCTTAATATCTTTGTTTTGATGGCCACCAATGTTAATTGACAATCATTTTCAATCCATGTTAATGTTTCTTCGATTTGATCTTCGGTCAACTTTTTCAGTTTAAAACCTCCTTTTCCGATGAAATTTGAATTTCCGCTGCGAACCCAATTGTATGCTGTCTTATAAATCTTTAAATCGCTCCGCACATTCAACAACTTTTCTCCTGTCATTTGGAGAAGATAAAACGTAACGTTTCCTTTCAACTTGTTCAGTTGTGTGTATTTCATGCCGACAAATCGGACAACTTGAATCTGGTTGTTCCAGAACTGGACG